TGGCTCAGGAAGAAATATCATGTGCTGATCTTAGAACCCTCAACGGAAATATTCACATTAATGATAGTATGATAATACATAGTAATATTAGCTATAGCTAAATGCTAATTATAATTTCCTAACAGTTTTTGTTGAGAGTTTGAAGATAAAGCCTTTAGTAATTATATGTACTGTAGGATTTTACTCCAAAATAGTGGATACGTGGTATTGACACACAAAATTGTATTAAATGATAAAAGTTTAATAGATGAGATTGAACGAACTAACACACTGTTAACTTACTGGTTACATTTACTCTTAGGAATTTCGGCTTATCACCACAACACTAAATATAGACTATGTAACAGCTTCATCTATAACTCGTATTCGTCTTCTAAATTTTACAGCCAAGCCGCGTCTTTTCGTTTACTACGTCGCTTTGACCTGCTCTGCGTCTCCTAATCATCCCCGAGTACAACGAACTCCTCTGTTCCGGAAACCGGCGTCTTTTGTCAAACGTCAAACATACGGCCGTCTCTTTCTATCTTACCTAGTCATATGCTTTTTTGTGTGTGAAGCCAACCTACTGTTTAGGCAACCAGTCGCACAGTTAACTAAATTTAAATAAATTTTACCCTACAGTACTGAAACTTGGCTTCTGAATCATTACTAAGATTTAGGGATACCGGGTTATAAAATTTTTGATAACAACAGTGAAATAAATAAGTCGGATGGTGCAGTGGTATATATTGAGGGAAGCTTAAATGAAACGACTAAATTAATAGAACTTGTCAAACTAAAAATCTTAAATATTTTGATAAAATTTACTCATTACCCCCTCTTTATTACCCTAAATGAATTACCAAAGATCCACACGAGACCGCCTAAATATTTCTACAGTTATAAAAAGTTAGATGAAATATCTAAATCGAAAAATTGGAATAATTTACAATCATGTTATGATCCCAATGAAGCCATTAATTACTTGATTAAAGAGATACAAGATTGTATAAACAAATCGAAATATACTCCCAACTTAAACAAAAGTAAGCCACAAAATAATTGGATAACAAAAGCAATTATTGTATCTTGTGAGAGAAAATACCAATTTTATCAAAGAATAATAGGTAATCCATTCAACGATATTTTAAGAATCGAATATAGAAATTACTGTAGGCAACTAGATAAAATTATTAAAACCGCAAAAATTAAATATGAGAATGAAAAGGTAGAAGAAAATATAAATAATACGAAAGGTTTATGGCATTATATTAACAACAAACTAGGCAAAAAAAGCAATACGAACAGTACCATAAAACAAATTACTACATTAGATGTTGTAGTAAGGGATAATCCTAAAGATATTGCTAACGCCATGAATTAATATTTTTGTAAAAAACTTATGCAATAAAATTTCTGTACCGATGGGCAGATTCAACTGCCACCAATGAATACTAAAACAATGTTCCTTAAACCAATTGATAATTAAGAAATATTAGAAATAATAGATAAAATGAAACTAAACAACGGTGGTATTGATAAAATCAACAGCGGAACCATCAAAACTATAGCCCCTTACATCACTGATTTAAATCACTGGTTTAAAGTACATTTTCAATCTCTGCCTTGAAAAATCAATATGGCCTGACGCGTTCAAAATAGCCGAAATTGTACCAATATTTAAGTATAGAAAAAAGGCAGAAATAACCAATTATAGGCCTACATCACTCATCTCGGGTATAGCTAAGATATTTGAGGAAATAATATATTACAGACTTCAAATATTTTTGGCCAGAAGTGACATTCTGGCTAAAAATCAATATGGCTTTGTTAAGGAAAAGGGTACCAAAAATGCCTTAAGCTATATAATTCGAAAACTATATGATAAGTTTAGACCAGAAGCAATAGTAAGAAAGACCAGAAGAAAAGTAAACCAGTAGCAATTGCTTTTCTGGACCTTGCTAAGGCTTTTGATACTGTAAACCATGAAATTTTTATAAACAAATTGTACAATTATGGAATTAGAGGAATATTACATACATATTGTGTAAATTGTCTCAATACTTTCAAATTGATACATTGTACTATGCATTATTTCATAGCGCTATAACCTATGGTAATATTGATGCATATCATAATAACCTAGCGCTACTACAAAAACGACATAATAAAATACTGAAAATTAAAATATATACATAAAAAACTGAAAAAACTAAGACAATTTTTTTCTTGTGAATGCCTTATCCACCACTATAAGGGCCTGTCGATATTGTTTAAAGATTCGAAAAGTAGAACACGTAATAAATTAATCCAGCTTATTAAGCCTCAAAAAGTAGTCAGTGAATAGAATAATTATTGCAAAGCGGTAACAGTGTTTAATAATCTAAGTAATGATCTAAAAATTTGAAGTGATCAATAAATCTAGTAAAAGGAGACTGACAGGTTGGATTAGATTAAATGTTTCGTTTATTTAGTGTAATTTATACTATAATGGGTAGAGTATCTTACCTAATGGTTTACTAACAACTTAGCATTTATATTTAGTTTTAGTTAAGTTTAGTTTGATATGTTAGTAGTATTTAGTATTTAAGTTTTCACACGGGACTGCGAACAGGTAATGTCTTACCTCTGCAGATTTACGGAACTTGGGTATGTAATTTTCTGGTGATAAATAAATAAATAAATAAATCTCCTCAAGAAGACAATCAAAATTTTTATGACTGAATATTGAACATTTTAAATTTATTATGTGCATATATCGATGTTTATGAAACTACCGATTTAGCTAAACAATTGAAACGAGACTTGTACGAAAATTTAGCCCTAAAAACCTTTTAATCTGGTCTAAAAGAACCGCTAGAGACTACATTAAGGGGTATGAAACCGCGATTTCTCAGTGAAGCTTTACAATATGTACTAGCCGAAGATAATGCTCAGTATTCTCAAAATCCATGTTCAAAATCACCTTTTAAACCTAGGCCAAATGTAACACGGCTCCGCCCTCATGTTAGACAAAATCAAGTTTTTCGGTAACCAAACAATTTTTCGTCCAATTTTCCTTTTAACCATGGAAATAATTTTTTCACTGTACACTCCAACTTTGAAAACCCCGTACAGGATATATCGTAAGTGATACTGCAGTTAACTTTGGTCAAAATCAAATTATCTTTAGTTTAGTAGCACATTTGCCAGCAAACCCAAAAGTTAAAATTTTATTTGAAAAGAAAAAACGTTCAATTATCGGAAAATAATTGCGAATCAGATATAGTAAATTTGGTTAAAGAATATGTACTACCAGGTACTCAATATTATATTTATTTTGAAAATCCGGATATGTATGAACCATTTTCAGCAACAGTTCAGAAATACTTTAAATGGCCTTCTATAATACTTTTGCAATGTACTAAAAAATTAATAGACGACACCAATAGAAACATTGTGAAGGACAGTTGATTCCAGCTCTATTGCATATCCAGCTCTCACGCCAACATATAAATATGCACCGATAACTAGTGTTGACATCGAAAGAAGTTTTTCAACCTTCAAATCGATTCTAAGTGACAGAAAGCGGAGTTTTAAAGTTGAACATTTAAACCCACGATCGGTCATTGCCTGTTATTATCATAATATATTAGATTTTAGGATGTTAATAAATTTTAATGGCAAACATTTATGTTATGTTTTTATCGAATAAGCTACCTGCATGTTGAAAGGGATATGTTGTGCAGTTATTTTGTGTTATTTTATTACGACTATGAGTGACAATATTTCTTATATAAAGGCAGTTATATTTATACGGTTTTTTTGGTTTGTTTCATGTTACTAAGTCCTTAAGTTCACCATATCTTTAGGAGTGTAATGCTTTTCTGTTATTTTTTAATTATTTTTATGCTTTTTATGTTCAAATTATATGCTTATTTAAGCAGTTGTATCAGATTTTTTTGTGCTTTTTTATCCGAGCTTTAGTTATAACTATCAAATGGGTATGACCACGATCAGCTTACAATAACATAAACAGTTGACCCTGTTGTTCCTTGTTATGGTTTGGGGTGCTGCTTGATTCTATTCACCAATGGTAACAATCGGTGGTTGACTTACTCTGATGACCTCTGTATTTGTATCTTCTGTCTATTACGATTGTAGGTGATATATTTTGTGCTGTTTTATTATATTTTTTTAATTTCTCACAATTGTTGACTGTATTGTACGTACTTTATGTTGTTTACTTTTTTTACTCGCTTTGTCCATAAAATTTGTGAATTTTTCCATGGCAGTAAAGCATACATATTTTGAATTGATTTTATTTGAAAATAACCTTTATTTCAGTTGATTATTTTTCCCATACGCTTTCGCTTTTACTGTTGAAATTTTCTTGAGTGTCAGCAGTGTGAGTTGTAAATTCGATAATTTTTGTTGTTTTTTTTTAGATCTGCAAGAAAAATATGGTCAAGTTTTTAAAGCTTATGACAAAGAAAGGTGAAGTAATGCATTTATTCAATTCAATTCAAATTTATTAAACGGAAAAAATGCATGGAGAATTATACAATGCGTATAAAAATATTAAAATACAATAAAAATTAACATACAACACTTACAGATAAATAATCAATAAATAAATTACATGGGTACCTTCAGCTTTAGTTCGGACTTAAATGCTGCCAAAGAAATACTAAAAAATTACAAATCTAAATTGTTAGCAGTCCTGCATGCTCTGTCGATAATCATAAAGTGACTGTAATTGGTGTTATGAGTTGCAAAGTAAAATATAGATTGACTTCTGACCGTTCTCTTAGGAACATGGAAATTCAATGTACTGAGCAAATAAGGGCAATTTATATGGTAGTTAGTTAATTTAAATAAAAATATAATTTGCTTTTCCAATCTTCTATGTTCAAGCGTTTTAGTTTCTAATTGATGTCGTAATTAGGCGACTATACAATATTGGCATACTCCAAGATACTCCTGACACAAGACATATACACCACTTTTATCCTATCAATGTGGTAATTAAATGAAATCTTGCCGCTGAAGCATGAGACTCACAAATTAGGTGATTCATTTAAGACGGCAAAACAACGGTTTTTAAATCTAGAAAGGAAGCTTCAAAGGGATCCGAAGTTAAAATTTGAATATTCAAAGTTTCTTCAAGAATATGAAATCCTAGGTCACATGTCTAAGGTTAGTTCTCAGAATTTGTTAGGCAAATCTACTTTCTACCTTCCACATCACTGTGTCACCAACTCTTCAAGTCAGACTACTAAGTTATGAGTCGTTTTCGATGGTTCTAGCAAATCTTCTAGTGGATATGCTCTTAACGATATTCTTCTGGTTGGGCCGACAGTGCAACAATATTTATTTTCTATTGTCTTAAGAGCCAGAAAGCATCCTATACTTCTCACTGGGGATATTGCAAAAATGTATCGCCAGGTGTTGCTGCATAGTCAGCAGCGAAGTTTGCAGTTAATTTTGTGGCGACCTAGTCCGTTTCTGGACATTCAAACTTATCAACTGAACACAGTTACCTACCGAACTGCATCTGCTTCTTATCTAGCTACCAGATGCTTGAGCGAATTAGCAAATCAATGTTCTCAACACAATCCAAAAATAAGCAAAATTATTGCAGACGATTTTTATGTTGATGACCTTTGCACTGGTGGTTACACTATAGAGGAGGT